GATTTCCCACGGGAACCGATATACCGACTACATCGTTACTCGCGCTTTTCGAATTACCTACTTTCCGGTATACATGGGAAACTTTCGCACGTCGTTAAATCGGCGACAACTTATTTATTAAAAATACGATACGGCGGAGAAAAACAACGGAGGAAAGAAGGAAAATTAATTTCTGCGAGAAGCAGCTTTTGACGGAAAGAGAGAGAGAGAGAGAGGGAGGGAGAGAGAAAAGAAAAAGAAAGAAAAGAAACGGTAGATTCAGTGGCTAACGGCGCTAATTGAACTTCTCCTGTTACGGTGAAGTTTCAGTGGCGCGCCGGTTAGAACAGAAGACAAATTTTTAATAAAATTAACAGTTGTAAAGAAAGTATTTCGTTAGAAGGAGATGAATTAATCCGTGCCCTGTGACATTCTCGAGACTTGCGCGACGAGTAGCGGAAACTTTCGAAATTCGCTTAAGCCTGGAACGATTTTTTAATAGAAAGCTTCGTTTCATTTAGCCCGGTACGGATACAAACTTTATTTTTCATCGATATTTCTTCCTTCTTTTCTCTCTTCCTTCGTCTCTTTCTCCTCCATTCTTCGTCCTTTCACCTCTCTATTCTTTCCTTCTTCCCCTCTTTTTTATTGCCTTCGTTAACAATTTTCCTTCGTCTATTCCTTTTTCCTCCTCGTTCTATCCGACTTTTCTTTCCCTTTTTGTTTAATCGAGAACGCGATAGAACTTTCATCACAAGTACGCCAGCAAAGGTAACGATATTCACTGGTGCGATTTCTATTTCGCTGCGTCGAAGTGGAACCGTCTTTTCTTCCCCCTTTGTGTCCCTTCTTCGGAGCCTCTGATAAAAGGGGTCGTCGCCGTGGAGCCCGGGACAATCTATTCGTTTTATCGGTGCAAATATGCTGGAGGTCCGCAAGCGGAGCTAACAGTTGCCGCGTACTCTCCTCCCTCGAGGATTACTAGCTCCGGCAGCAACAGGAAAAACGCCAATCCGACTATACGAGTATACATTCTGCACGCGCTCATCGGCAAATGTACTACCAGCTCTTTTTTAATACGTCCAAGTATTTCTTCGTGCTACGATGAAACGCTCTCCGGACGAGTCTCTTGAAATTCGAAATGCTACGCGAATCCGCATCTACGGTCTACGTGTAACGATCTTTTAACGACACAGCTCTCGTTACCTCTCCCATCGTTCGCCAATGACTCGAGAAATTAGCGGAATATTTTTTCTTCGGACGTTTCTCGAAGAATCGGTTTCGAAGAGTCCAGGTCCATTGGAAAGAAAAGAAATAAATATGAATGCGATCTGAAGTGATTTGTTTGAGAGTCCTGTTGAAACGTGGGAACAGGACGAAGCGCCAAAACTACTATCGACTGCAGAAATTCGAAACATTCCGGAAGTTGGTAAAAACGCCAAGACATTTCGTCGACTTTCACATATTTGTCGAGAACTCGAAACTGGAAAAGGACGCCGATCTCGGATAGATACGACACCTCAACCGTGTTTAGCCTGGCGATACTAACGAGTTGCAAAGATTCTACGATGCAACGAAGAATGTTGACTCGATGGGAAGGAAACAAAAAATGTGAGAGAGATCCGTGGCTTCTAGCTGCAAACGAGGAACTCTCCCTCTGTGTGTGTGTGTGTATGTGTCTGTCTCCACTCCGCGTGCAAATTGGAGCATCGAGTCCAAAATTGGATCGAATCGCATTTGTTCCCTTTACCTAGGTGAATCGAATACCTAAGTGATTCGAACAGAGAGAAAAGGCGGAAATCTTGGATCATTAGTTCGCTACTTATGTTATAGATGACTGAATGATCGCTGTAATTTATCCTTGTTACTATTACTATTAGACGAACTGAGCCTGATAATAAATGCAAAGGAATACAACAACGAATACAATGGAGGAAGAAAGAAAAGATAAAAAAGATAAAACAAGAGAACGAAAATACTCTTCAAACACAGAGTACAGAGTGATTGTTATAGTATAGAATTAAGTCGTAATGAAATGACTGTTTTATCTTTTAATCTTATTACTGCAATTTACTGCAATTACAAACCAGATAACCGATGTGTAGCGTAATTGCGGTTTAACTAACGAAGCATAGACATGTTCGTACGTTTGACAATTCCCGAGACGTACGCTCAACGAACCAAAGAGCAGGATTTGTTGACTATACTTGCAGCAATTTTTTATATTATTGTATATTAAATCATAGAAAAATTCGCTAGTTATATCCGCGATTGGTGACTTGATGCTCAGTTTGTTAACGTTTTTCAGGAGATACCACGAAGAGGATCGGATTTTAGTTCAGCTGAAAATTATATCTCTGTATATAATTTCTGCTTAAAACGCAGCGTGTAGACTTTTTGGCAAGACTTGGGTATCTGTCGCGGAATTCTATGTAGATGGGGCTCGACTCACCTACCTAAAGTAAACTTGGCGGACTTGATTTCTTCGTAAGTAGGGAAAGCAACTGGGACTCGACTCACATAGAGAAGATAAGCATACGATCTCGGCGCTCAATCTACCCCGTCGTCCTTTCGAGGGAAGCCAAGGGAAATGTAATACGTTTGTAATTTCTGAAAGAGAAGCCAGCCCTGAATTTTCGTCGAGCTAGAAGTCACTTGAAATAACATACGCTTGAAACGCGTCGCTCGTTTTTCTGCAATCGCCGTTTAACTTTACCATCACGACACAGATCGCTACACGGTTATGATTAACGACGGCGATGCGATTTCTCGATTAAACTCCTAATCGAGAGCAGGTTTAATTCTCCTGATATTTAAACCAGCGATTCTCCAGCTGTCTGATAATTATATCGAGGGAAGAAACTAAGACGAGACGATCCTCAACTCGGTTACTGCAGTTGGAGAATCGACGAATTAATTTTAGCAAATTGAATCGATATCTTGGATGCACGGGAGTTCTTATTGCGTTCGATCGAATAACTTTCTCGAAGTTGGCGATCCTTGAAAACACGTTGCCAACGTAAAATCGCGGTTCTCGATATTCCCCGTTTGATGAAACGTGAAAGAATATCCATTATATTAATCGCGTCCTGAGAAACCATACGCGAGAAGAAAGATTCTTGAATTTGGTATCCGACGTTTGACGAAGACACCTGGCATTTAAACCGAGGGAAACGATTTAATTACCGGCTTCCGTTTTTACGTTGACTTTGATACCTCGATCCGCAAAATTATCTAAAATAGGGCAGTTTATTAAATCGTTTCGGAAACTTTCCACGTTATGCGGCTCGAGAGGATTTATTTAAACAAACAAATAAAAAATGGAAAAAAGGAGAGGAGGAAAAAAACAGAATTAAAAGGAAAGGAACGCAGCGTCTCTAGCTAGCTCTTCCACGAGTGTTGCGAAATTTACGGAACCTCTTTTATCATTTGGCCCGTTTCTCAGCAAAGTTTCGTCCTTTTCCCTTCCTCTCATTGATTGTAACGTACCACGTGAAAGAGGCGAACGTCTCGCCTAAAAAGGGAAGTTCTTATCGCGGCATTGTTGCTCTTTCGTTCTTGTTTCGTAAAAGACCAAACGTCCGCCTACCAAATTGAATTAGTTCTCTGCGTCTCGTGGATCTGACTGGTACGCCGCCAGGTCTGGTTGGACCTGGCCATCGCTTCTCGCCGTCTCCTTCGGTAATACAATTCCTTGCTTATGCTCCACGTGACCATCTATCTTGACACCCTATTCTATTCTCTTGCTTGCTGCTTCGCTCTCGTTTAACTAAATAAAAACCGCCCGGACTAGATTCCTTCCCTCGTATCTCTATACGGCATAAAATCTACCTGAATGTTCACGGTAATCAGGCTGCTGATCAAAGCTACTTTATTCTGCTCGATTTTACCAACCGTGAACACGCGAGAAACGTTTGAACGTTCCTTCTTCCTCTGTCCTTTCGTTTCTATCCGTTTCCACCTTGAAACGGATATTTCTTCAAAAATTTCAAACGCTAATAATACTCGACGCTATGAGACACGCGCTGCCTAACGCTGTTGCTATTGTACCATTGGCAACGAAACTAATTCCAAGTGTCTCGTTACGCTGTGTGCTAATTGCGAATACAACACCGGTCGCTTCTAATTAGTCGATCTTCCTAAGAAACACCACTGACGGCACATCGCGGAAACACATGAACAGAACACGCTAACAGAAAACATCTCGCACGGAGACTCTTCTACCGTGGCTGTAGTAGTACACGTAGTAACTGGCAACACGGAACTCGTTAAAAACTCTGTCTGACAGCAAGCTTTTTCACCATTTCCACTATTAGCCTTTGTGAACACGCGGATACACGCGTAAAGCAATCGTCGCATCGATCAAATATGGTAAACCTCTGGCTGTTTCATTTTATGGGAATAAATCGTTTCAGAAAATACGTGTACCCTTGTTTATAACGTTATATTCCCTTTTTAGTTGCGAAGAATATTATAAAATATTGAGAGATATACAACGATCGTTCGGCTATATTAATATCCTTATCTTTTGTACGAATTCAGTATTAACCGTGCAACAAATTGAATTAAATTAATAACCGTCGCTCGGATACGTAAAAATAACACACTAGATGAATTTCCGCGTCTCGGCATAAAGAGAAACGAGATTTTCACGTATTCCGGCCAATTTATCGTTATAGAGATTATCGTTTAAAGGAATATCGATAGCGTAAAAAAAAACGAAGAAAAAAAGAGAGAAAGGAGAACGTAAAATAATATAGATATTATTGAAAGCATTATAAGGAATTTATATCTTTGCCAGGAAAATGTACTATTCGAACGATTCATCGTGGAGACGATGTAGAGGTAAAAGTCGGAATAAACTGAAAGCTACGAGCGCGACGCGGCGTATAGTTCGTTAACACAAGCGTACTCGTGTAATTTCACTTTAATCCCTCAAACTCTCAATCGCCGATGAATACTAAATACACTCAATTAAAACTCCTCCCGGGAACTTTCGAAATTGACTAAAAGTGACTCACCTTCGACGTCGTCGCTTGGCGTGTTTCCGGAATTAAAGAGGTCATCTGAAACAGAAGTTCATCAACATCAGCCCAGAAAGCGGTTACACGTATCTACGTGTGCTTACACACAGTCGCGCGGCTCACGCCCGACACAGATCAATTCAATCGCTATTTTCTCTGCCTCGTAATCTGTTTTATTAAATTACGTAACGGAGCGACACGCAAATAAATAAGAAGATTAAACTACCGAACGATACTTTTTCATCAATTAATCTTTCGAATAATCGAATTAATTGTCCATTTCAACAGATAAACCAAATCGAAGGATCTTCCTCGTTTACATCGCTATATTAGAAACACCGTGTCCCCTTTTTCTTCGCGAAATGAGAGAAAACACTGAAAGCAATAATAACTTTTTGCTAACGTTGAAACCTACTACACACCGAATATTCATGTTCGTACGACGTATCAATGGTAGTGTTACAATGATACTAAAGTACACGGCTACATTATCTGTTTACTTGTACTTGAGCAACTCGATATTTCACCTATGAGGGGACATTTATTATGTAAATACTCGAACGGATTAGCGAAAGACTAATATGGCAAGTTTCCGCACATCGACACGGATCCTGAACAAACGTAAAGTTATCCGGAAGTATCGACCACGAAATCCTCTGGTTAATCTTCCACGGACAAGCATCGTGGTATTTGCTATTAATATTTGTAGACACGTAACAGCACTTTACTCTCATCGATCATCCGTTCGGTGTATTGGAAAATTTGGATATTTTCAACATTTACCCCGTGCAGTTTGAAATGTTGCTATCTATCGAAAGGTAACGACGATCGAACGATGCCGATCGACGATTCTATGAAGTTTCGTTAGTTTTTAACACGCGCGACCTATTGTATTTTATAACAACGCGCGTTTCACAGAATAGTAGATACGCGCATCGGTTCTATCCTTGTTACCTTTCACAACATCGATGGCTGACTTTTCACCAAACAGATTCATCCTTGCTTCGATGATATTCTATTCCAAGATATCCTTTGTACACAGTTTGAAGTTGTGGCAAACTCGTAGCTGACCACGTCTTCGAAAGGGATTAAATTGAATTTCGCGATCAATAAACCGTTCGTGTAATGACCCAATTATGAAGTTATTGCTCGTCCAAGTGTACGAAAGAAAGTAGCTCTTTCATAAATTTTTCCATAATCTTACATTCCATTCGCGCTAATCTTTTTCTTACGATCGACAGAAAACACGGCTATCATCTACAAACGTAAATGATTTGGAAAAGAAAAGAAAGAAAGTATTATTAACCTCGCGCGATAACGCGACTAACTTATTCAAGTAACGGCAAATATTTCAGCTGCGAGAGCGTACAGAGCTGTAAACGAAACTCTACCAAACAATCGTTGAGGCGATCCATCTATCGGTTAGTTTCACAGTTGATTTCCACAGAGAAACGTAGTAGCAACTGAATTCTAACGTACGGTAGGAAATGAAACCAAAGCAATACACTAATATAAACTGAAACTAAGCTTGTTATAACGTTGATTTAAAGGCTGTCACACGGTTAACGATACAGCACGTGCAGCACGGTGTACGGTTTCTCATTGAGAACTTTTCAACGTCGATGTATTCTATATTTTTTAAATTTAGAATTATATACCATATATCTTACTGTCTTTTCCTTACTCTAACAGAAAATCTAATTACGTTGTGTTACGAACAAAGAAGATTTAATAACGTAGATTATTCCAACTACAATGTTGTCTTAGAGATAAAGATAATTGCAACGTCGTTCTTTCGTAATATTTCCTTTTCTCCGAAATATGCTTACCAAAATGGAATATAAATACGAATTAATAGCGTTATCGTTGATAGAAAAGAAGAAGAACTACTCGTTTATAGAAAAAAAGTGGAGGCTGATATTATGATAAAAGAAGAAGAAAAAAAGAAGCAAAGGAAAAGCCAGTTAGCTGGAAATTTATAAACTCGCAATAGACAGAGCAAAAACGCTTGCTATTCCCATTATTCGTGGAAAACATATAGTATATAAGAAAAGCGCAACGATTCCGAAGTTGAAAGTTATCGTCGTGAAACAAACCGAGGCAGAAGTTTCGCCGTTCGCTTCTTTGTACCTTTCTTTGACGTATTTCGGCTTGTACTTGGACTTGGATTTCAACTTGGATTTCGACTTAGACCTGGACTTGGTGCTGGACATGGACTTGGACTTGGACTTGGTCTTCGAAATTTTAGTCGTGTACTTAACCTCGACAAAAGAACAATCCGTCTGGTTTCCACCTTCAAAGTACGTACACGATTAAACTTTGCCCGACGAATCGAATTTAACTTTCTGCACCGTTGCAGGTAACTACTTTTGTTACTCGCTAACAACTTCGTTACACGTTCAACGCCAAAGTGTGCTGGAATAGATGTGCTGAAAGTTTGCCTCAATGAAAAGACGAGTTAACTATCGATTCTATATATGCAACGATTCGAGAGACTCTCTAGCCGTAATTACCGCAAACTTATTTCATTCGAGTAAGTATTGGTAATGATGCGAAGTAGAACAACGCCAAGCGTTCCTCTCTTCCACGCTCTAGCTACCACGATACGTGCCATAGAAGATTGTCTAATATCGTGGAAACATAGAACGTTATCCTATTGGTTAGACCGTTCTTCGAGTACACGATGAGTTTTGCATCTCAATTATTACGTAGATAACTTTCCGATTATCCGCCATAATTTGTTTGCTCTGCGGTTTACAGTTAGTATCGTTACTGGTTCGGCACGCGTCCGTATCGAGGTTGCACGTGTTATTTTCGGTGACTTTAATCCGAAACAAAGAAAAGGAAAGAATGTGAGTTACGTCACGAGACGTAACCCCTAGTTATGTCTTTTTCTCATTAACACCGGCCATATACACCTCTTCACCTTCCTGACCTTTCGTTCCTCTTAGTCGCCATTGTTCCTTCTTTTCCTACTATTTATGTTTTCTTTTCATTAACGGGCAACAGCCGCAGTTTCGTTATTTCAACTCTGCTCTCCTTTCACGTACTTCATCCACTTTAACGATTCTCATTTTCTTTCGCCCGTGAACGCTTTATCGTCGAAACGAAACAACCAAACACATCAACCACGCGTACAGGATGCACGTATATATGGATTACAATTAAGTAATCCGAGGAGTAGACTACTTCATTCGTCGGCAAAATACAACGGTGTGATATTTTATAAAATTACAAGGCAACTGTTGATAAAAATTTACACAGAACAGATGCTTTTCCTTTTGGCATATACGTACAGGCTAGAGGCTATAGTTTCCAAGTAACGCACGCTTTCGATTTTACGGCGGTCTCTTTTGATTCTTGAGATACGCTATTTTGTAAATCTTACTTGTTTCGAAACTCGCAACGAAACTAAACGGCAATGCCGTAGTGTACCGACAGTGACGGAATATTAAGCAAATGAAGAAATTTTACATATTTTCGTAGTTACTTCGCAACTGTTTACTAGTCGGTATATTTTTGCAGCGCTGTGTCCTGATTCTGATCTCAAATGGAAATTGTTTTGGAAACAGTCTACATTGCAAACAAAGATCTCTGAAACATATGCCAAGGTCATAGAGACTAAACTTCTTTTCCCCAAAACATTACGTTTATAATATTTGAGAATCGCGTGACTGAAAATTCAAAGCGCGTATTACTCGCAAACGTATTCTCTGTGATACACATATTATATCGAAAACAAATTGATCCGTGCTGTGTACATTTTTATCAATCCGTAACGATTACAACAGTCAACAACCAATGGCGATACTGACAAATTGACGATATGATCGTTGGACTACAATTTACAAAAAAAAAAAGGAGGGACAACTGTATATATAGGCGAATACCTATAACCGATTTGTTTGTCAATTCCTATTTATTCTTTTCAATATCCTCGTGAAATGCAAACAAAGAGCGAAATGACTACACAGAAGATTATATGCGTTGCATTCTAAAATCCATTGTTGCAGGTACAAAAGGCAATGTCTTTTACGTTGTATCGAACCGTAAATCGGTATTTTCGATTTGGTTTCGTTTCCGGCCCGAGAATCGCAAGAACAATATACGTACATCGGATATATCGTAATCTCTCGTGCTAATAATGGTAATTTCTTACCGTAATTCATCTTTGCAGCAAGGTTGAGCGTGCACTCGCGTCGAGTAGAATAATCGTAGGGACGCGGTTCGTTCGGACACCACGGCACCGACGGCCCACAAACGCATTTTCCTGTTGCAACCGTATTTCCGTTCTGTCCGGCGGTCCCCTCAGATACCAAGTTGCAACCAGGTTCGGACATTCTTGGCCCGTGCGGGCAATGCCTCCTCCATCTGCCTGGGATCTCTGGAAAAAGGGCCAACCACAAAAAACAAGTTACAACGACTTGCGATATTTCTCTTCCCGTTGAAGTTTTACGCTGTTTGCAGTTTACGAAAAGAGGATGAGAAGAGGGTAGAAAGAGGAAAAAAATGGAACGCCAACTAGAAATGGGCGTAAGTAAACAACGCGATCACGTATACACGTATGTCGTTGCCGCAGCTTTATTTGCAACTTGCCTTGTTTTATTTACCTTTCCCCCTTTATTTTTTTTTTTTTTTCGCGAGCTAGCTATGAATAATTGTAAACGGAACATCGAGATAGATCCGAAATGGAAATCGAAACTGCCAGACCGTTTGTAACTACCGCAACGTAAAAATTTTTATTTCGTCCTCTGCCTTCGACCTTATTCGCGTTCGACCTTATTCGATTATACGTATCGCGACAAATATGAATATTTAATCGTACCGATCGTAATAAAATAAAAAAAAAAGCACGTGGAAGCGTTAATACGCCGTACGTATCTGCGTTTAGTAGAACGCGCCAAAGAAACGGACACAAAAATTCCATGGGATCTTATTTAGTGTCGAGGTAGGCGGGTTGTCGTTGATTGTGATTCGTTTCGACATTAACGATCGAAAAAAGAATAATCTATATTTACGACGATTAGAGAGAACGTGAGGTCGTTGGGGATGCGAAGCGAGTTCTCGTGGGGGACAAGAGGACGCGAGAAAGTCCATGCAATTACGCGGTTGCTAACATCGGTAAACGGGACAGGTACAATGTATGTCAGATCGGACTAAGGCTCCTATCGTACCCGGGAGAATATAATGCGGTTTCCTAACGATACTCGCTACGTGCTCCAACGACAAATTCGGATTCAATTACAAGCGGCGTGCAAAACCGGATTGCGAATCCACCGAGAATCAGGCGAACGGTTTAGAACCTATTGGAATATCGTATACACGTACACGGAAACGATTCTCTTCGAGACAGTTGCTTTCGCTTTTATAGAGTCTTAAGCGCGAAGAAGCAATAAGAAGAACGAAATTACTCGTCGGAAGGACGGCCGTAACTTCGCTATAAGCAAGTTGAGAGCAGATATAGCAAAGCCAGGCTTATTCGATCGATAAGTTTAATAATCCACGGTCGAGCGTCCCGGAAATCGAATTTACCGATTGGTTTACCGATCGACGTTCCACGCTGAAGCAAATTGTAAACGCGAATTCATTTCGGGCTAATGGCTTGAATGTGCTTCCGGCTAATTGGCCGTGGTTCGCCGAGTACACACCAAGAGAGCGAACGCACTCTACCGAATTGCCACCGCTGCCGCCGTCGCGCCGCGCCGCGCCGCGCCGCTCCGCCACCGCCGCAACCGCGTTCCACGTCCTTAGATCAAGACAGAGCGAAATTTTCGGACAATGCGATCGTCGGAAACGCGGGAGTTAGACGAGTTCATCACCAACTGGCAAAGATGTTCCATTTCCGATAACGAGGATGCCTTCAAAGTAAATGTAGAACGCAGACTTGAACGTGCTCGTTCTAACGATACGCGCAAGTACGATTACGTAGACGATTTCGATGCGAACGATGCGACGATGGCGGCGTATGCGTGATATTTGGCAATTTCCGATGGATTTCTTGCTTTTTATTTCAGCGGAAGCCGGTGGTACGAGCGCGTGTAGAATCGCACGGATGTAGAAATCGTATTTTACGCGCGACATTCGGCCAGCTATATTAAATTTGTGATTTTACGTTCCGAAAGGTAAAGGATTGAGAAATATTCGCACGGCGCATGCCAGCGGAACGAAAATGCGCGTAAAAATATTGTAAAAGTTTATTGCTTCGGCGCAAACAGAACAAAGAGATTATCTCTGATCAAGTTTTGTTACGACCGGCCAGTATTGCGCGCGCGACGAAAAATCAATAGTTAAATATTTTGCGTTCGCGGAAGCTGATTTTCCTGCAGCGAACGAGTGAAAAAAAATTCACCGCACGTCGCGGTCTGTGCGAAACGTCAGCGCGGGACAACGACAACGTATATGTACGTCCCTGGCTACGAAGCAAATACTGTTATAAAAAATAATGGCTCCGTCAGAAGCTAATTGTAAGTAAATTATACGCGCGAAACGAGAGACGACTTAATCAGTCCGTGCGCGTTTACCAGAAGTCACGGTGCAGAATCATCCGTTGACGGAAAATGCAAAATTACCGGCACTAGTTGGCGACTTTTTTTTCAATCCCATCCGCGCGCATAGTGCAAAAACCGCGAAATCAGAATGCACCGTCCGGCTTGACAGCTATCCGTTTTCCGACCCGACGTGCGCGTCCGTAACAATTAAACGAACCGGAAACTAAAACTATGCGTTCTCATTACCTGTCACGCGAACGATGATCGACGATCTACAACAATTACGAGCTACGTTCGTTATTGTTCGCTTCGGGCAAAACTCCTAATCGGACGGATTTATCCTATAACTTTCTTCTATAATCTCTGCAGAGTAAATTATTCATAGGAAAAATAGCGAAATAAAGGCGACGCGTGCAGCGTCTTTTAATTCGAAGAATCGAGCAGCGCTGTACGAAGCCCGATGTATGGTAAGACGCCCTGGAAAATTCCATTTCGCTATCTGTTAGTTCGCGTTACCGCGATTACGTTTGTTTAATTAAATTTCCAGTTTGCGGAAGTATAACTTTGGGAATGGAACGGGGAAATATCGGGAGAACGAAAAGGCCGCGTCGTTGTTTGCAGAAACGTGCGTATTTGCGAATCGAGTTCGGGTGGACTTTTCCGTAATTTTATGAAAAATCACGCGCGAAATTCGTTAGCGAGGGATAAATTACGCGTATTTGTTGCACGGCGGGACGATAAAAACGGGTCGGTTCCTCGGGCAGCCACCGGATATTATTCCATACATGCAGAAAATTTTCCATCGAGATCATAAATTTTCCACAACCACTGTCTACTTACGAAGTAGACGTTCCGTTTCCAAGCCCTTATTTTTCCAGTCACAAAGAACAGCTATCGGAAAGAAGCGAGCTTGTTTTTACAGCATACGTAACGCACGGTAGTACAGAAAATTATAGTAAATTCAATGAAACATCCCGACGTTGGCGGAAAGAGTAACGATACGAACGTTACGAGATTCGTCGACGCATATACATATAGATACGTATCGACTGTAAATCGAGCAAATTTTTCTTACGATTCGTGCTATTCGCAGAAAGTAGGTTGAAAACTGGCGTTGTATTGCCGCGGAATTCGAAATAACGCGTTTGAAAAAAGCAGAGATTCCCTTGAGCCGTTCACCGTTTAAAGTTTTAACGATGAGATGGATCGTTTTTGATCGCGTGATCGGACAGGCGTCAAGACACGCGACTTGTATCGAAACCGGCATAGAATAGAATGCGAACACAGGCGCGATACGTTCGACGATAGAGACATCCACAACACGGTAAAAATTGCAGTTGCGTGTTTGCTTTCTCTCGATCAGTATCCTATCAGATATAAAATCGCAAAATCCATGCGATGCATTCAGGTCATCCCGTGCATCCATCGATGTTATAACATCGTGTATCTCTCGCTTCGGATCTACTGTCTCCTACCGATTCACGTAATGTCACGAATTGCACATCACTCAGTCTGATATCCTGCAGCGCACGCGAGCGCACCGGCGCATTCGCACACGCTCGTACACCAACGCAACGCGGCTGCCAATGTAATCGCACACAGCTCGGTGAAGTCCCAGCGGCTTACGCGAAATAAAGCAAGTAATCGATTGCAGTCGTATACAGACCGACAGACTGCCTATAGACCTCGCAACTCAGCGTACACAACGAATCCTTCGCTCAACTTATTTACTCTATCCTTCTTAAAGTAAGTGAGTACTCGCTCCGTCTATCGCACAGACGAAAGTCGCCATATACCTGCCACAATATCTCCTTTGTCGATTTCTGTATCGACCGTTTATGTTCGCGTGATTACGCGTATTCTTCCCCGCCTTTCGTTAAACAACATCCGCGTTTGCGAATCTATTTACCTTCTATCTATGACGTCGCTCGCCGATACGCACCGATCGAAAACCTACGAATCTTAATCGACGCGATTCCATCCGATTTTCCATTTTTTTCTCTTCCCCTTTTAGAGATAACTAGCGCGTGCTTTCAGCCAGAGTGTACATAGTACGCGTATGTATTTGGGCGAAGACACCTACGCTTTTTCGGTTGTACAGCGTTAGAGCACAGGAACGGTAATGGAAGATGCGCAATGAAAGCGTTCCGACAGTTACGTTAAATATTTCTTTGATCATAAATGGAGAAGTACGTTCGATCGAACAACGCGTACCGAATAGCAGAGATGATCTACAGACTTTTGAGCGCGTGTGTTCGTTCTCGTGCGAAATTCATTTGGCGCACAGTTACGAAAAGGTAGATACAGGCGAACGAAGAGTCGCATAGAAATGCCAGCCAAGTAGCGCGTACGCTTGCGGGCCATTCTCAAGATTTGTTGCTCGACATTGAGAAACTGGGCTTCCTACGTTGCCTCGCCGTACGTACGCCGATACGTAGGCCACAGAGTTACTCGCGATGCTTTTTCTTCGTCGAAATCGCAATCCGGTCACGTACATTTATTAATCTCGGCTCCGTTTACTTTCCTTCTTGGCTATACTTTGCGATCGTCCCTTTAGCGATACGACTTCTTTACTCGGACGTAAAGACCGCGAAACCGAAGGGGAAATCAGCCGATGACTTTCCAAGTTTCGAGCGTTCGGACGTTCCAACTTTGAAAAGTACCGAAGCGACTCGATAGAACTCGCTGGCAAAATAAATATTCTTTCCCTTCCCACGGTTCCACGTTCTTCCACGCTTATAAAACGCGCTTTTTCTTCGAACTATCTAAATTTCTTCGAAGTATCTAACTTTCACCGTATTTCGTTTTAATTTCGATCGACGTTAACGCCACGATTCTGCGAACGTTGGATCGCGAATTCAAACGATTTCGATTTTATCTCGAACCCCGAAAGGTG